CAACTAAAATAATAATGATAATTTTTTTTAAAAAAGCCTCAGTAATAATCTTAAATAGAGATTAGGCCATCTAACTAAACATTTGAAAAATTCTAAGTTCATCTGGCGTGAAGCTTTATTTTTTCTTTATATAATTATCAGATGATTGTCATACTTTAGCAATTCTGAAGACAATTTCAGCCTATCCTCCAGATCATATAACAAATAGCACAAAAAGATCCTGTCTAAATATACATTTTGTTTTTTTTTATCTGTCATTATACTATGTTATATTGTGTCATTAGCTTCCTACTAAAATGTCCCTAATCTCTATGTAACATTTCAATATCAAAGCAATGTGGTCAGTTGAGAAATTTAAACTTCAAAGATTTATTTACATCACATACTTCCATTAATAATTCGACAACTGGGGCTGGGGATTTAGCTCAGCGACATAAGCACCTGCCTTGCAAGTGTGCGATCGTGAGTTCGATCCCTGGTACCAATAAAAACGAAAAAGACAAAAAAAAAAAAAGAATTCGGCAACTTTTCCAAAGATCTACACAGTCTCTGCTTACTACAGGCAGGTTTCTTGGGGACAAGACTAGGAGCACAGCAAAAATCAAAATAAAAAGGCACCTTACACACCAGAATTGAATAAAAACTGAATTTCAGCTACCACTGAGTGGTACCAAGTACCACTCAGCTAAGATGATGTCTTTAATAAGGAAAAATTCAAAACATCTAATAATTTCAGCTTGGGTTATACAAGCATTCCCATACTCTGAATTAGAAGGAACAGTTAGAGGGAAATTTGGAAAGATCTATCAAAATGTAAAAACAAATATGTTTGAGCCCTTAATTTCTCCTCTAGGAATTATCTTACAAATAAAAAGTTCATAAATTCACATACACATATATTCACACACATACTCATACATATACATACATTCATTCATGTATACACAAGTTATAGTATACAAAAACACACTGATATACACACACTCACAGACATACACGAGTAGATAAATATACCACTTTGCAGGTTGCTTATCACAGCATGATCAGTGCAGTAATTTGGATCTAAACTGTTTCCCAAAGGCTGATGTGTTAAAGGCTTACTCCCCAACACGACAAAACCTCACCTGGTGATCAAAATTAACATCACAAATGAGACACATATAAATATTTTGTAACAATGTTATGGTATCCTGAAGCACAACATCATTTATAAATGTGGTATTGCACTCAAGAATGCATGGCTAACCATGAAGAAACCCAAAATGAGATACACTCTATAAAATTCTTCAGTGTTTATAAATAACAAAGGCTGACAGCTTGTTTCAGATTAATAAGGACTATTAACAACGATAATACATGATCGTAATCTATAACTAGTATGGGGGAGGAAAGTAATGTGCTAAAAAGTAAATAACTGGGTCAATGTTTTAAAACTATTGTATCAATAACCAATTTATTGAAGTTTTATTGAAGTTCATAATATTATGTATAGCCTCGTTTTCAGGAAATATACTCTGGGATATTTAGAAGTTGAGGACCACAGTGTTTACAATTTGCTAGCAATTGGTTCAAAGATAATACCACTGGATAAATGGATGGATGGATGGATGGATGGATGGATGGATGGCTATAGAGAACAAATTAAAAAGTAAATCAGGTAAAATGTCAACAACGTTTGTCAAAAGGTTAAAGGGCTCTTTCTAGGGGGTGTGGCAGACTGCAGCCCTTCCAGGGGAGAACCACCAGCAGTTCCTGAGATCCGCGCCATGTTGGAACTTACGAAGCTGGGAAACCAAACAACCAGCCTGCCTCCATGCTAAGCAATAGTGAACCTACTGGTGTACGGCCTAGAGTCGAACATCCCACTTCCCCTACCCTCCTTCTCCTGCCCCCCACCCCCATTAGCAAATGGGAACCAGAAATCTGAGCTGAAAGGGTTTTGGCCCAGGCCAAACACTATAGCTGGTAAAACCAGGAAGCTCCTATGTCCCTGCCCCGAGGAATTTACCAGTGATGCCATCCTCCCGCCCCTGGGAATTTACCTCTGGCACCAAACCTAGGACCAATGGGCTACCTGTGCATCCCTAATGCCCCCCATTAGGTTCCACCCCAAACCGAGGCTACTTATGTGCCTCATTCCACGTGTTCCATGAAGAGATCGTGGACCGGGGGCGGAGATGGCGTGCCCCACATTCCCAAAATAAAGGTCATTTATATTTCATACTTATCTTTTCAGCCACTGCCGGTTCTCCCCCACAGTTCTATCACGAGCATCTCCTGGGAGGTTGACCATAGCAAATAAGGGGACTTCCTTCTACCATCTCTTTGAAGGAAAATATTTTTATTACTGTTTTGCTCTATTCTGATTAATGGTACTGCTCTATTCAATATTCTGTTTTGATAAGTTCTATAATGTTCTGTATTTCATCTCATTTTGATATACGTGGTTGAAAGTACAACTATTATAAAGATAACGAAATATACTGTGATACCTATTACTGTTATCCCGGTAACCTGCTGTGATGTTCTATACCAATTTCACTGTACAATCTTAGTTGGCCTTATTCTGTCTTGTTCTGTTGTATTTTACTGCTTTCAAAATAAAATTTAAAAAAATAAAAAATTTTTTTAAAAACAGGCTCTTTCTATAATTCTCACATTTTGTCTGAACTCTGTCCAATTTTTTAAAAGATGTATCCCATATTTGTGTAAGATATCACTGGATATCTGCCATACCCCAAAACTTTTCACGGTATTTACTTTTAGAGGTCATGTGGGGATGCAATAGGATTGTGGAAAGGGTGGTACTCAGCTTTCATTTAGTGTCTTCTGTCCTGTTGTAGCTTAGCACGGACATGTTACCTCTAGAACGACAATGCCTGATTAAGACAGTGCCTAATTTTAAAGTAGATTTGTGGACTCAGAAAAAGTGTGGCCTCTACAAATATTTTTTAAAATAAAAACAAAAAATAAATAAAAATGTGGCCTCTGAAGTCTGGCCTTTGCTGGAATGCTGCTATTTCCCATTTAATCAGGGTGTGGCCTGGACAAAATCAGGTAATTTCCTTGTTTTATGGAATTCCTTAAAAGACCTGGTTTCTAGTTTCAACTCCATCACTAACACACAGATTAGTGTTAAGCAGGCCATTTCATTCTGGTCTCAAGACTCTTAGGAATCTATAGATAAGAACTCAGCCATCATTTCTATGTCCATCTCTTTTTTTTTGCTGTAAAAGATATTTGGCTTTCTAGCATATTATCTCCTTTAACAAGAGTTCTGAAGTGTAGCATTCACATGAAGAAAAGATGATGACTATTTTCTAAGGATGACTCCACCTAATTAATCTCCTGATACAGGGGTCCCCAACTCCTGGACCATGGTCCATGGCCTACTAAGATTCACGCCTCAGATAAGAAGTAAGCAGCAGGCACTGAATATTCAATTATCTTTACAAATAGGCTCTCCTGCTCACCTTACTGCCTGAATCTTCCCTCCTGTAAGATCCCCAGTACTGCGAGATTCTCATAGGACCCAGAAGCCTGCTGTGAACTGTGCATATGAGACAGCCAGATTGTGAGCTCCTCTGAATCCTCTGAAAACCGTATCATTATTCCTTACAAACCTATCCATCCCTATCCATGAAAAAATTGTTTTAAAGAAAATTGGTCCCTGGTGTCAAAAAGGTTGGGAATTGCTGTCCTAATAGAATTTAAATATTGTTTTAAACCTTTGGAGTAAACAATTTGGGATTCCACAAACTCAGATGCTAAGAGTACTATCTTCCATCTCCACTCTTTCTACTCCCTATCTTCCGTAGGGAGTATTTCTCAGCCTTTTTCTGTTTGCCTACCTAAAAATTTCCTGGGGTGACCATCACAGCCAGAGCATTCCTATCCCCCTTAACATTTAAATGGTGCATTGCTGAAAGGAAATTTAATCCATATGTTTCTGAGTAATTTCCACTTAACACATCAAAATATTCGGTTGTAACAGTCACTTCTTGTCTCAATAATTCTCTGGAGTCTTTTTTAAAGGGCTTTTATTCTTTGCAGGCTCAGTTTAGTAGTCAAATGTGGAATTTGAACTCCTAAATGATAGTTCTTTATCTTTTTATTCTTCACTCATTTGGTAGACCTTGCCAGGGCTTTCCTCCCTAAAGTAAGAAACTCTTAGTTCTAATACTCTTTTCTTTCTTTAATTGTATAACAGAAATGTTAGTGTGACACTATCTACTGTGCACCAACAATGCCAGACTTTGTACTGGGAGCATCATATGTATTTCCTTTAATCTTTACACTGAATAAAGTAAGAATAATTTGTTTCTTACTTTTCCAGATTCAGAACCTGAAGCTCCGAGAGACTCAGTGATTTGCCTAAAACTATAAGATTGGTAAGAACCTAGATTACTAACTCCAAATACTCTGCTATACTCTTTATACATTACATGTGAAAACAAAGACAGTTCATACTCCAGCTTCTGTAATTGAGGGTTCTGCTGGCAAATTTAGCCTCCCTTGTTTCGCCAGCAACCTCTACTGTCTCAATACAAATGTTACCTCTTCGAAGGACTTTCCTCTTCTTTGCTGTCTTTTAAATCCTTCTTCGTCACACCTGCCACATTTCAACATAATTATATTTTTATGTCCATTTTCCTTTTAGACTATGAGCTCTTGAAGTCAGGACATAAGTCTTATTCAGCTTCATCGTCCCAGAGCCCACCCCAAAGTAGATGCTTAATAGATGTACAAGTTTGTCACACTGAATATCTCCGACTTAAGACTGGGGTAGAAATGTCATTCATTAGTTCATTATTCATTCTGGGCAGGGGGAGATGTGGCAGGTTGAAACAAGCACATCACTTTCCATGCCCAGCAGCATTCAGGATGGGAACCTCCTTCTCCCCTGGCCTTGGCTATATCCAGACTCTTCGAAGCGCAGATCAGCAGAGCATAGCTGTGTAGGCAGAGTATCAGTGGTCAAATGGATAGGCTCTGAGAAATTTAAGCAAATAAGCAAAATAATTACTTACTATTGAGTGATTGCAACCTATACATGATGTTTATACTACAGACATTATGCATAAAAAGAAAAGTGCCTGAAATATAGAGTTAAATGAACTCTTTTATTAGCTTTTATATGCTTTTATTAGCATTCTCTGTATCTCCTAGACTTTTTGTTCTTGTTACTGACAGCCAACTTAATGAGGAAATATAAACAAAGAAATTAAGTAAAGTGATCTAATATAATTATTTAATGGATATACTACTTTTGTAAAAAGTTTGTGTTGTGAGCAATACATTAATCTGATCTAAAACTGCCAAGGCTAAACTGGTATGAAATTTTTATGCAAAACATAATTACTAAATGATCAGACACTCTCACTTCTGTAATTTCTCCCAAAACAGAGAAAGCTATTCTTTTCTTTAACCCTTAAGTATTTTACTATTTACACTGTCTGTTTTCATTTTTTCTTCTCTCTTACTTTTCCACTTCAAGCTTATCTGACTCTATGGGAGCACACTAATGTTTCTGAGGCCAAGGTCATGAAGCCATCTCCTACAAGTCAGTCTGTCCCCCATTATAAGGCTTCAAGATGTAATGCTAACCTTGGCCTTTGTGAACAATGAAAACCATTCGTCACAAGAGGTGCCAGTGAATGAAGAGGCCACCCTAAGCTTTCAAATCTCAGATATCTTTTATAAACTCATACTCAGATTAATAGGATTTATTATGTCAATAGCATCATAATTTTAATTTTTTGAAAAATTAAGTGTTTATAATAGAATAAGGGTATAGTAAGCTTTAGAATCATGCAGGAGATATTGTTTTCAGTATTGGACAATAAACCCAAGGTCAACACACTAAACTATATCCCTAATCCTTTTTTGTTTTGAGACAAGATCTCACTAAATTCTTATGCTGCCTGGACTGGATTTCAATTTACAACCCTACTCCCTCAGCCTCCTAAAATTCTGGGATGATAATTCTGCACCACCATCCCAACTACACAATGGATTATAAACGATGCTTTGCAAAGATTTTAAGCAGTCTTATGAGGAAAAAGGAACTCTCCTGCACTTTTGCTGGGAGTGTAGACTGGTGCAACCATTGTGGAGGTCAGTCTGGAGATTTCTCAAAAAGCTGGGATTGGAAATCTCATTTGTTCCAGCTATTCCACTTCTACGCATATTCCCAGAAGAACTGAAAGCATCATACCACAGTGATATATGTGCACCCATGTTTATAGCAGCACAATTTGTAATAGCCAGATCTTGGAAACAACCTAAGTGTCCATCAACTGAAGAATGGATAAAAAAGTTGTGGTATTTTTATACAATGGAGTACTACTCAGCTATAAAGAATGATCACATTGAAATATTTATAAATAAATGGGCGTAGCTTGAGACCATACTCATAAGTGAAATAAATCAAACTCACATGTATGAATACCAAATAGTTTCCCTAGTGTAAGAAATGATACAAATACATAAAAGTATGTGGTAATCATGATTTCCTATTATGTGGCTTTGAAGCCTTATAAAGTTTTCACTCATTAATTTGAATGGTTTTATTCTGGGCTGTTTCATATTATTGTCTGTGATGACATGAACAGCTATTTTGAAGAAAACAAGACATCACAATAGCTAGTGCTTATTTAATATCATCTTGTTTTGAAGCCCCAACAAACTGTTGTTCTTCTGTCTCCATTGGTTTTATCATGTTGTATCTTATTGGATTTTATTATATGTGATAGTATAAACAAAAATTTTTATAGACAAAGACATAATATAGAAATCACTGTTCGTTTTCTGTTAGCTGGTTCTAAATACCCTGTAATACTTTCATCCTCTTGAATGTTTCAGACTGTCTTGATATGTTTGATGCTATAGTATACGAAGTTATACTCAAATAATTCAAGGAAAGAGACACTATGGTAACTACTATTTAAGTCAGGTTATCTTGTGGTGAAATACTGTATTGCTTAAATTGTTCTGTTCTGACCTGTATTGTTATGTTGTTATGTCCTCTTTTATCTCAATCTCCCTCTTTTTTAAAATTTATTTTTTTATTATTTTTTTAATTAAGGGAAAATTTTTTTTAAATTAGCAGGATATATTATAGTAACTTTTTTGATTTCCTATTAACTTGATTTGAAGCCCTGTATTGCTCTCACCATCTTGTTTTGACTGATTTTACTCTATTCTGTTCTGTTAAATAGTATCAAGTTTGAGAGTATAGGTAACTACTTTGAAGGCAATAAGATTCACTATGATGCCCATTCTGGTTTGACCATTATCTTCTTTTGAAGTCCTGTAATGTCTTCAATGTTTAGGTTTTATTGGTTTTGCTCAATTTTATTATACCTGATGATATAGGCAATTCTTTTTAAAGTAGCAAGAGGCATTATAGTAACCATTGTTGAGTACCTTTTATTCTGTTTCTACATCATGTACTATGTTCATCCTTTGTTTTGACCGACTGCTTTGTTTTGTCACATTGGGTTTTATTCTCTTCCAAAAAAAAAAAAAGTAATGAGAACTGTGGGAGTAATAAAACCCAAAATGTGTAACTGTTATTATAAAAAAGAGAGGAAAAGTGCTCTAAAGGATACAACTGCAAGTATGTTTAGGTGTGTAAAATAGATGACCATATTACAAAGTTTTTGTTGGACCACTGAACACAACTGCTTGCAGTCTCACTGTTTGAATGTCCACTTTGTTTGCTTTAATTTTGTAACTTGAACAACTATTTCCAAGATGACAATATGTAATCTATTAACTCATGATTTGTTACTGTTTATTTTTTTTAAATTCTGTATTACTTGTACCCTTTTACTGTTTTTTTTTCTTTAAATAAAATTAAAACAAAAAGATTTTAAGCAGCCTCACAGCATAATAGTAAATTTAAAAGGCAGAATGCAAAACTATATATGTGATTTGCATTGAATTACATTTATACATTGAAAGAGAGGCAATTATCCCTAACTCATTCCTAGAAGCAAGTATTCCCTAATACCAAAACCAGAGAAAGACCCAACCAAAAAAGAATTACAGGCCAGTCTCCCTAATGTACACAGATGCAAAAATCCTCAATAAAATACTGGCAAATAGAATGTAGCAAATCATTTAGAAGATTATATACCACAATCAAGTGGGATTCATTCCAGGAATGCAAGAATGGTTCAATGACATATATAAGTCAATAAACATAATATACCATATCAATCTAGCCAAAATCAAGAATCACATGGCCATCTCAATAGATACAGAAAAAGCTTTGATAAAGTCCAACACTCATTTATGATAAAAGTCCTATAGAAAACTGGAATATATGGTCTTTACCTCAATCTGATATAAGCCATATATGATAAACCAACTTACTAAATGGACAAAAACTGAAAGCTTTCAACGTAAAATCAAGAATAAGACAAGGATGTCCATTATCCATCACTACTGTTCATCACAGTTCTAGATATATTAGCCAGAGCAATAAGAGAGAGAAATAAAAGGAATAAAGTTAGGAAAAGAAGTTAAATTATCATTATTTGCAAATGATATCATATTCTACATAGAAGATGCCCCAAACTCCACTGAAATAACCAAATTCAATAATGTAGCTGGATACAAAGTCAACACTCAAAAATCAATTGCATTCCTGAACACAAACAACAAATTCACTGAGAGAGAAATAAGAAATACCACACCCTTCAAAATAGCATCTCCAAAAATAAAATTTTAGGAATCAGTCTAACAAAGGAAGTAAAAGATCTATACATTGGAAATCATAGCACTTTGAGAAAAGAAATTGAACACGATTTCAGAAAATAGAAAGGCATTCCTTGCTCATGGACAGGAAGAATACACATTATAAAAATGGCCATTTCTCCAAAATTCTTAAACAGATTTAATGTAGTTCCGATCAAAATACCATTAGCATACCTCACAGATCTAGAGAAATCATTCCTGAAATTCATATGGAACCAGAAGAGATCTAGAATAGCACAGGCAATTCTGGGCTACAACAGCAAGGCAGGAGGCATCTCAATTCCTGACTTGAAATTATACTACAAAGCTACTGTAATAAAATCAGCACAGTACTGGATAAAAACAGACCTGAAGATCAATAGAACAGATTGCAACATACAGCCACAAGTAAAAACACAGTCACTTTATTTTCAACAAAGGAGACAAATATGTTCACTGGCAGAAAGACAGCCTATTTAATAAATGGTGCTGGAAAAGCTGGCTTTTCATTACTAAAACTAGACCCATGTCTATCACCATGCACTAAACTAAAGTCAAAATGGATCAAAGAACTAAATATTAAAATAGAAACATTAAGTCTTTTGGAAGACAAAGTAGGTAGCCATCTTGATGACATAGGGTAGGCAGAGAGTTCATAAACAAAAAGCAAACTGCATAGGAAATACTTCCCAAAATCAAAAATCTTGTTCTATTAAAAAGATTTGTATGTCAAAAGAAATCTTCAACATTGTGAAAAGAAAACCCACAAATTGGGAAAAAAAAATCTTAGCCAACTGTCCCTCAGACAAAAGACTTTTATCTACAAAATACAAAGAATTAAAACAAAAATCAGACCCCCAAAATTCAAACACCCAACCCAAAAATGGGCACCTGAGGTGAATGCACACTTCTCACATGAAAAAATACAAATGGAAAATAAATATATGGAAAAACGTTCAATATCAATGGTCATTTAAGAAATACAAATTAAAACAATGCTGAGATTCCTTCTCACTCCAGAAAGAATGACCAATATCAAGAAATCAATCAATAACAAATGCTGAAGGGGCTCTGGTAAAAAAGGAACTGTCCTCCACTGTTGGTGGGAGTATAGACTGGTGGAAATCAGTGTGGAGTTTCCTCAGAAAGCTAGGATTATATACCACTTTGACCCAGCTATCCTGCTTCTGTGTATTTTCCCAGAAGAACTGAAAACATACCACAGTGATACATATGCATTTATCTTTATAGCAGCACAATTTGTAATAGCCAAATCTTGGAAACAATCCAAATGCCAATCAACCAAGGAATGCATAAAAAAGAGGTGGTATTTTTATACAATGGCATACTAGTCAGCTATAAAGAAAGATCAAATGGAGGTTTTTGTAAGTAAGTGGATGTGACTTGAGAACATACTCAAAGTGAAATAAATCACACTCACATGTGCAAATATTGTTTCCCTAGTATAAGAAACTAAACAAGTAAATAAGATCCTAAATCTACAATAGATATTGTGAAAGTATAAAACACTGCTCACAGAAGAAAAATAACTGGGATAGAAGAAAGGAGAAAAAAAAGAAGAGAAAATTTGTATATATATTTATACATAAGAAATCTAAGAAGATGATTATACTACTAATTCTACTAGTTCTTAGAAAAGAACAGTCAATACTTACACAATATGATCATTTTAATATGTCTATATCTGATAATCTAGCAATTCTTGACACTAACAATATGCAATATAACAACCATTGTTACAATCCTATCACATTGTTTTAAAAGCCTGTATTATTATTGCTTTGGGTTTTTATGTTGTTCTGATAGTTGTTTGTTTGTCTCTTTTTTGTTTTTCTTTTGTTTTTCCTCTTTAGAATAAAAAAGAAATACATGTATACAAATATATATGCATATACATGTATTATAAACACACAGTAGCATTCATATACACACACATATATATATATATACATATATATCACAATAGAAAATGTGGCAAAATTGTAACATGTTAGTTGTGAGTTGTCTGAAATGAAATAAATTGTGGGTTATTTTATCTTACTCTTTATTATTTTTGCTACCAGTTTTACTTTTATTTATTGTACACTGCATGAACTCCCCTTTTTTTTCAGTTTATCTGCAAAATGAGGGTGGTGAAAGTATCAACTTCACAAGGAATACAATGGATCAGATATAAAAGAAATTTACCAATTTTAAAATAATATTTAAACAGCCATATGTTGCTTAATATATAATAATAAATATATGTTCTGAGAAGTGAATCAGTAGACAATTTCATTGTGTGTAAACATCAGAGAGCTCACTTACAAAACGCTAGATGCTGTAGTACACTACACACCTAGATGCTGTGTAACAGCCTGTTGCTACTATGCTGCATATCTGTGCGGCATATGATTGCTCAGATTATTATAGGCCGCTGTAACACAGCAGAAAATATTTGTATTTCTAAACATATCTAAACTTAGAAAAATGCAGTAAAATATGGCATAAAAGATTAAAAACTGGCACACCTGTACAAACTTCTTACCATAAATGGAGCTTGCAGGACTGAAATTTGCACCTGATAAAGCAGTGAGTAAACGGGGAGTGAATGCGAAGGCCTGGGACATAACTGTACACCGCTGAGACTTATAAACACTGCATTTAAGCTAAATGTATAAGGCTTTTTGTCAATAATAAATTGCCATTAGTTTTCTGGACCTTGAATTTATAATATTATTAACTTCTTAAATGCATGGAATGTTTTGTAATATCATTCAGCTTAAAACACATTATGGAGCTGTAGAGAACTATTCCTTTGCATCTTCATTTCATAAGTTCATTGGTTTGTTTCATTTTTTGCAATACTAGGGTTAAACCCAGAGCCTCAATGGATTCAAAGTACATGTTTTATCACTGAGCTACATCTCCAGCACCACTTTTCTTCTGTTTTTTCAATTTTTATATTATTTTCTACTCTTTAAACTTTTTTATTAAAATTTAAGACCCACACACATTAGCCCTGGCCCACCCAGGTCAAAATCAATATCACTGAAACCGCCTCCACACATGGCTCCACCTGAAGGTCTTCAGGGGCAATGACACACCTGAAGCTCCCATCTCCTGGGTAACAAGGCCTCCAGAACAAGGCTCTGGAACACTCTCTAAAAGACCTGCTTGAGACTGTTTTATAGTGATAATTATTTAGTAAGTAGAAAGAATATACTCTAACATGATAAAAGTATAGCGTAGTATGCATTATAACATAAATGTTTATTATTATTAAGCATTACACACTATACATAAGTGCATGTCCCAAGCTTTTCTAAAACCGGCAGCATGACAAATTTCTTTACAAACAGCATTGCCACAAATAGGTGATGTAGCAAGAACTACAATGTCCCAGGATTATAAAAATATTTGTTTTAATGTCATCTTATGGAACCACTGGAATGTATGCATCTATTGTTGACCAGATCATTACACAGAGCATGGTTGTGTTTCAATATTGCAAAACATGTGACATTACTGTATGTGTGAATTAAAGTTAGGACTGAAAATATTGTTTGTTTAAAAAAAAGTGTTTAGTGCACAGTTTCCAGTTCCCTGGTGTGTCCTGCTCCTTTACTTCTCCAAGCTGTGGTGCTGTCAGTCCTGGAAAGGCTGGGGAAATACTAAGAAGGGTGATAATATGTCCACCCTGAAAATTGAAAGATGATCAAATAAAACATTTAGAACTGGGTGCCACCATTTTACTCATCTTAATTATCTTCCTGAAGTGTTATCGGGTACTCTCAGGAAGTAAAGTCCAATTCAGACAATACTGTCCAATAAAAAATAAATTTCTAATTTATCAATTCCAGCAATATTTACGCATAGTGACCAGAGAAAACTAAAGGCTCTTCCAGGTAAAACTGAGTATCCATGTTGGTAGGAATCTACTTTTCAGATTTTATACAAAAGAACACTTTGCAAGTAATAAATATTTTATCCCACCCTCAGAGTTAGTAAAAAGAAAAGGAAAAATCAGAGAAAAGATGTGCATATCTCTTCCTCTCCCCAAGGGATAAGAGATTTAGAGGGATTCATTAAATTATGTACAGCTGAGGTTTCTGATTCCTGGCTTCCAAACAAATTCCTAGAGTCTTCCAAACTTAAGAGTCCTGATCTCTTAACCTACTATGGATTCTAAATACCACAGGAGCTTCTATCAGGGATTTAAGCAATGTTCAAAGTATGGTCTGGTTTTGGTTTCAGAATAAAAATAGTCATCAAGGAGCAACTGCTCTGCTTGAAGCTCTGCCTAAATGTGCCTTTATTTAACTTTTTCGACAAGCAAGTATCGTTTTTCTACATTAAAAAATGAATTAAGGCTTGGAATTGAGTCATTTGCCCAACATCACAGAGCTCACAGGACACAAAGCTGGTATTTAAATCTTTCCAAAAATCAGGCTCTTTTTTTCTATGCTCTTCTTTCTCTCTTTAAATCTCAAATGTTCTGTCCTCATGCTCTAGATATCCAACTGGGATCTTCATGGTAACCTAGCTATCCCCTAATCCCAAACTTCACAGTGGAAAGACTCATTTCTAAAATACCCTATCCAATATCTGACCTCAAATCAAACTCTAATTAGTTATCAGATATTGATATGGGGAGCAAATTATGATTTATATGTTGGTGATTAAATTTAATTTACTAAAGCAGCAATGAATTATTATTTGAAGGATATACATTTGTTACTATCCACTGAACATCTGGACAGATGATGTGAAGAAGTGTAAGTACACTGGAGAAGTAGCTGCCATCTTGTTACTCACTCAGTCATAAAACACCTGCCAAGAGCTTGCTGCTTACCAGAATGCTGTCAAGGTATTTATCACCCACCTATATCTTTTACAAAGCAAGACAGAACGACCATAACTCCAAATCGCTACTCCTGCAAATTTAAAAGCTTGACATACTGCTCAGGGGAAAGAAAGGGCAAATGTGGAGGAAAGGATCATCCCTGACTTTCTACATATTGTATACCGATCCATTACAGTCAGTGTAAACCATCATATAAGGTAACAGATCAATACCCAGGGACAAACTTTCCTCCACTTCAATAAAGGACACTGAGGAGGGTCCTGAAGTAGTTTGACTCTGCTATGGAACCAGAATAATAACATGTAAGTTATTTTATTGAAAATATATCTGGATATTTAAGATTTTAAAGAAAGTCATTCTGTAGTTGGAAAGTACTTTCATCATAAGTTAACATTTGCTTTGGGAATGCTACAATCTGAATTTTTCCCAAAAATTCATATATTAATTTTCAATACCTAATTCAATAGTTTTAAGAGGTCTTGGAAGGTCTTTGAGAAGGTAACTAAGATGATTAAATCATGAAGTCACTTGCCCATTAACACAGTTCCTAAAAATACACATTAAATTCTCAACATATACGTGTTCTTTCTGTTTCCTTCCCTTCCTCCCACCTTTTTTCCCTCCTTCCCTCCCTCTCCCTCCTTACGAGTTAACTCAAGAAAGACACACAGAGACAGATAGATAATAAGATGTCTGTATGTAAGTGAGAGTCATAACTATTTTACTTATAAGCATTTCCAAAGACACCCATTCAATGTATTTTCCTTTGTTTCATTATTGGGGCACTTACATTTTTAAATATTTGTGCTGGAAAATATAACATAAGAATATCAGATAGATTCCAGAGGTAAAATTAGGTGAAACTGAGGAAGTAACACAGGTGGAATTTAACTCTTCTATTTAAACAAGACCTGTAATCTGAAGGCCAGGGAAGGTAAATAGCAATGCCAAGGATACTGACACTAGATTCAAGCAATTCAATTCTGGAACACAAGAAAGAGTTGGATTTGGAATCATCCACATATTTTGCATGAAAGGAGAGAAGATTTTCACTCCCCTAGACAAGGATGGAAGTGGTTCTTGGGCTTGACAACACTCATGCTGCTAAGACATTCCAGGTGACATGGCATCTAGTGTCACTCACACACCATACAGAACAGATAATGAACATCACAGGGCCTTAGATAATGATGTCACAGGGCTGACATCACATCATCAATACCTTCAGTCACATGTGATCTGACTAAGCAAAAAAAAAAGGCTAGATGACAATGAGGTCTCTTCTTGAATACAAAATAGTAGTTTAAGGTCCCCAAATAGGGATAAAAGTGTGGGCCATTGATTCTAAGGGACAAGCTATCAAACCAGTCTAACTGCAGGAGAAATATCTTCCTATACCCTTCTTTCCATCTTAGACTGAGCTTTTTTATTTCATTTTCAATCTTAAAAAAAGGAGACCCAGTATCAGGACAAACAAAGTTTATCTGGCCCAAAAGAAGAAATTGGGCATCCTGAATTATTAAAATGAAGAAACCAAGACATGTCAAGCATCAGAAATTGCTTATCTTTCTCTCGCTCGCTCTCTCTTTTCTTTTCTTTTTCTTTTTTTTTTTTCCTGAGAGGTTTCTTATTTTAAAGAAAGACATAAAGGTCCATCAACAGACTAGAGCTGAATAAGTAAGTATGATCCTACGAGGAGATTTTAGAAAATGATAAGACTATACTTTCAGGGATCATTTTATAGTATGTAGAAAATGGTAAATTTTCTATGGTAAATGAAGTTTATCATATTATCACACAGTTAAGATGTTCCCAAATGAGAAATAAGTCAATAATGCTGTCTTTTCATGCAAATGCAAATAAAGCTACGTATTGTTTACAGATAAATCATTAAGTTATTATTGAGATTGGGTCACCCAATAACATTGGCATAGGCACAAGTAATTCCAAGTATAGATATTCATAAAATACCAAAGTGTAGATAATATTTCAAATCAATTCAGAAAAGCACTTTCATAGTGAAAAGAATGTTGATTTAATTTGCCTATATTAAAAAAGCATTTATAATAGCCAATACTCATATTTTATTAACTGAGTACATACAATATTTAGTAAGGACTAAGAACTGTTCCAAACATTTCACTTATTCTATCCATATAACTGCCCTACAATTTAGTACTGACATCATTCCTGATTTACAGAGAAATGACCACTGCAAGGCTAAGTAACTTACTTAAAAACTCATACCTAAAAATATAAATGTGGCCCAAGGATTTAGCTCAGCAGCACAGCACCTACCTGGGAAGTGCAAGGTCCTGAATTCAATTCTCATACAAAATAATAATAATAACAATAAATAAAAATATAAATGTTACAATGCCAGTCATATATATAAAATATATACAATTATATATATATTACACATTTGACAGGAGCACTGTGGACATATGAGAGTCACAGGGAAGTGGAAATAAGTGAGAATTACTTATAGGTATGGATAACAGTGATAACTGGTCTGTTTCCCTGGGAAGTTCTAGTTTATGCCCGCTGTCACAATGACAGTATCCACTGTCATTCCCAATAGTCTCCAAAATAAAAATTACTGGGCCAATCTGTTAGAAAAGGCCTGTTCTATCATAGGCAAGGCTCTAAATACTTTTGTTCATAATTTTCCCATATGTAAAATTGGAATATTAATGTTCTTTCTAATATTGTATTATTGTGATGTTATGTAGGAAAATGTAAATGTAAGATATTTTGAAAAATGGCAAATGTGGATGGCTGTAGAAGGAATTTGTAAGTATCAAGCTCCATCACATGCAGTGCACAAAGGTGGCTGCCTTACCCTCGTGAACGGACTCACTGCTCATTAGTACATAATTCCTTTTTTATTCTTCCAAAGCAAACATTTATGATAGAAACCTTGGTGTCAGGATGGAGTACAAACAAACAAATCATTAAGTCACTATTAACCATTATTACTGAACCAGAAACTATGTCAAGAAACTTGAAAAGGAAGTTTTGCTAATTTCATTAAATAACATCCATTTTATGGTTGACTCATTATTTCCACTTAAGCAGGAAAAATGAGCAGAATAAAAAGAATAAACTGTTTTGCTATTTAAAATAGTTAAAAGGGTTAGCTCTGAAATGTTTTTCATTTGAAAGAAAAACTGCAGATTCATTTTACAAAGGAAAAAGTACAATGAGATCTTGCTACCATAGTAGTAAGCTCCAATTCAGAAAAAAAATCTTCTATATGTTGGGAACTAAAGGATGTGAACCCTATCTGGGGTGTGTGTGTGTGTGTGTGTGTGTGTGTGTGTTCCTCTGTGTTTTGAATTTTCAGTCTGGAAATTCACAAAAATAGTAGAAAAAATAACATCTAAAATGGGTAAATGTATTCTCTTTAGCTTTTGTATCTTTCCTGTTTTCAAGTTTTTGTTCTCTGATTTGCACCCATTCGCTCCTCTACATTCTAATTTTTTACCATAACAGCAATTTCATTACAATATGCACTTCCTTTATTCTCTTTTAATATGTCACTGCACTAAATGTATTCATGGGTTGGAGATATAGCTCAGCAGCACAGTGCCTGCCTGGCAAGCACAAGGTCATGAGTTCTATTCTTGGTAAAACCCCTCCTCCCCCCGCCAAATGTATTCATATCTGTGATTGAAAATAAGGTTAGAAATCTTGCGTTCATTTTTTTCTTGTATTTGTCCCACTATACAAAAGCAGAGTTTGGGTCACTGTTCCCTTCCCTATAACCCAAGAAGTTTCAATTAGTTGAACCTCATGAAATTTAGAACACTGTAGATTGTATGGCAATATATCCTGTGAATGTGAGAGCTTATAAAGGACTTCAGACTAAGACAATAAAGACAATGATGAATGCTTTTATATTGCTTTCTGGAAGGAACATGATGACATAACAATGAACCTTGCTTTAATGAAGCAATAAATCCCTAGGAAAACAAGAAAAAGAATGGAAAGGTTTCAGAAAAGAGGAAGAGTAAAAGGAAGGGAGGGAGAAAGAATGAAGGAAGGGAAAGAGGAAGGGAAACAAAGACTGTGGAGAGGCAGGAAATAGGGACAGAAAAGAACAAGGGAAGAAACCCAAATACAAAAAGCCGTATTTGTACAGCACTGCCTTAGTTTCTTGGTCCAGTGAAATTTGATGTTAATCACGAGAATGAAATACAAAACCAAGATATATATAAATGCAATTTCGGAATTCTGAAATAAATTTGTATCTTTACTTGCTTGGGAAAGTGAGTAATGCCATGTAGTTAAATGAACTACTTGAAGTTAGTTTTACCTCTAATTCTCATTAACTGCCCAGAAGCCACCTGGATTCGGTCTTGATTTCTGAGACAACTCAAAATGGAAAATAATGGGAGAAATTACGCATATCTTTGGCCCTTTGTAGCTTCTTTTTTACATTGCAAAACTGTCATATGGTTGACTAAATCTTCTCGACATAATCTGAGGTCTTGGTAAAGGAAAATGAAAATAAAAACATTTAGTGAATAATATTTGTCAGTAAAATTACTCACATTGCATGTCAAAAACCAAATGACAGCTTAAATATACATAATGAAAGTAAAATATAGTATTACTATACAGATTTATGGCTATACTTCATAAAAATCATAGTATTCCAAAAACCAGAGCTTCTGACTTAAAGTTGACCTGCTTTCTATGGGAACATTTTCATACATATAAAAAATAATCTGTAATTTCTGTAAAACAATAGTTTGTAAAGACTACTTCAGACTTTCTAATCATACTCTAGGGAATCCAACAGTTCATTTCCCCTGAACTTTTATTACTTATGTTTTATGTTAAGAGGTTACATTTGTTTACAAAGGCATTACTTAGTCAAAAAAATGCTCCCTAGAGCACTTATTTCATTATTAAATGCAAAACAACATATTAAAAAGCAGGATGAAGGCAACTTCCACATATACCATAATTACCTAATTGGCTTACAGAGAACAGGTGAGTATCAGTCCTGGTGTATCCAGCATATTCATTTGAAATAGGAAATCCACAGACCTTTCCAGCATGAAAGTATCCTCATATTCTCTGATTTCTCAAATGCAAAAACATAGCATCTACAGACAAATCATATTAAATATACAATGAAGACACCTGCTAGGGTTGAAGAACACAGGAAACAGAATGATCAGGTCACTTCTAATCCACACTTCTCCAGGACACCCTCCCTTTGTGCTAAGCCAAGGCCAGCTTCATTCACACAACCTCCCCAGCACTGTGACTCAGTAACATAAAAGACTCCACCATATTGTGCTGAATCCACGTTTTCTGAAAATGTTCACTCTCAAGCAACTGTTTACCAATGAGTGATAACATATATATGCACAATGGAGACACAGCTTGCTTCAACCAGTGCTTATCTTATAAATCGCTTCTTTTTATAGAGATCATAGGCTATTGGAAATATTTTTCTGGCTTTTATTTTATGCCAAACTTTTCTATATATTTGCAAAGATAGAAAAATAAATTTTTTAAACAACAACAAATCACTCATAGAACAATGTTACAGAGCAAGTTAATGCACAGTACAGAGGAAATGTATCTACCTCAGGAATAAGACCTGAGTTCTTTTAAAGCACTGGAAAAACTGCAACTCCTCTCTAAGCCTTAGTGGTTTCATATAAAATAAGGGAATTGGATTCAACTAAAGGCCTTTAAACTTTTACTTAAATAAGATCTTTTTCCAACAAAATTTGCTAATGAGCCCAACCTGTTAAACCTGTTAAACTGATAAAGTGACTTCTCTGGTTGAATAGAGGGCAGGAAACCATGGCCTTACCAATCAACTTGCTGTCTGCTCCTTTTCCTCTTTCAATCCAGACCGCTAATCACTGAGTTTAAAATCTCTAAAGTCACTTCTGTGATTCCAGGTGGATGATAAAAAAGAGTAATAATTTAGATATTAGCTCTCAAAGGCCAATACTGAGCTGTCTAAAGCTCAGGAAAAGAGTCTAAAAGGAAGATAATGTGTGAAGGAGTTGATGGCTCTCTAGTTTTACATTCTACTTACTAGAGCCTTGTTTTGCTATCGTTAGTTTCTGGTTTAAAAACCCAAAGAGTAGCCATGCCTTGTGGTACACGCCTATAATCCCAGTTTTAAAGAGGCCGAGGCAGGATGAACACCTAGAGTTCAAGGCCAGCCTGAACTGCATAGTGAAACCCAATCTCAAAAACAAAAACAGAAACAAAAACAAAACCTTAAAGAGTCAAATAACAGCATCAATTAGAAAAAATAAGTTTAGTATAATAAATATCATATTTTTATCTATCTCAATTCACTTTCCTCTAAGGAGAATCAAATTATTGCTTAAGGTAGAGACAATTCCTGTATATTTGCTCTTATTCATAATGGTAAGCAAAAAAGAAATAAAGAAGAGGTAAAAAGAGTAGAAAGAAAAAAATCTGAAATTTTAACTGGAATGTTTGGTGGAAACACAGATTATCCTCTAATGGTCATTTTCCTCTCCTTTCCTTTTAATAAAACAACACTCTCCCCATTACCTCTTGCTTTTAACTGGAAAAGGAATTGCCTATCCTCAAAATACACTTACCAGAGTCTTTTGCAGCCAGGCATAATCATATCACACAGCCCCAGCCAGTGGGCTATGAAAGGAAGTAATGTAAGTATTTCAGGTTATGTTCATCCTGTAGAAGCTACTTTTCTTCTTATGAAACTCAGGCTGGAATGAGGACCTCGTGGTGATAATTCACCTTTTACTACACAGATGGGGATCATATTCTAGGGAAGGCAGAGAAAATTAGAAGTAATGTAGATCCCTTGGTATTATGGTAGAAACTCTTACATGCCTTGTTCCTTTTTTGGAGACAATGTATTTTAGGGCCTCTTTGGTACAATACTTAGATTATACCTAATAAACCAAAGTTTTTTTTTTTCTAACTTCTTAATGTATGAAAAATACAAATAAAAAAGAATAGATGCAAAGAGACAACACTCATTAAAATGCTTCTGCCTCTGTATTACAGAGGGTTAAAATCCTCAGGGAGTCTTAACTCTAGCCCATTTCTGAGAGTGTCAGGTCACACTAAGAAAGCTTCGTAAAGTGATTCTGAGGGTTTCCATGGACATTTCAGGTAGGTCAGATTTCAAAAGTCCAAAAGTAATTTCAGCAGGAGACTGAAATGATTCACTATACTTACATGTTAGCTATAGTAGTCTGGTAGTTTCCTATAGCATGGGCTTCTAAAATATACCATATCTACTATTACACAAATATTTCTACAGAGCTTTCCTATTTAACAGGATGGATGGAAATCATTAAATACTAAATATTTCTAGCCGCTTTACTCATTTCTGTTCCTCATGACAATAAAATAGAAAGCGATAAGGTGTATTACAAAGACTACGTAAGTTGGACACGTCACAAAGCAATTATATTTTATTGTATTATTAAGAGTGCTTTCTTTTGCCTCAGGGTTTTTTCTCTATTTAGAGTCTACTATATATATTAAATTTAGGTCTCAAATAATAATACTAAACTTCTTTCTTTAATTCAGCATGTTTCATTCCTCTTCTATATTTGCTACTAAAATATTTGAAAGCTATTTTTAGACCAATATTAAAGCATTATTTAAGCATTAAAACATAGAAAAATAGCTTAAACATGGTGATGCAACAAAAATATAGAGCATGTCCTGACATTCCATTTTTCTTCAGTTTTGTTTCCATTTCCTCCCACGTACCAGAGAGTTATAGTCAGTATGTGATGACAAATGGACTCGGGGTTGGGTTTGCATTTCTAAATATATTGGCATTTGTAAGCTGGAAAAGATAGATGTAATCAACCACCCTCAGACAAAAGTAGGATGACTATTCTGGCAAAATGCTCAAACCGCATTAAACCCTAATTTGAAATGATGTTTGAAAGAAAGTAATACAACTAGGACCAATTTATTTGCACAGAAACTAAAAATTGAACTCACTACACATATTTAAGAGATGGAAACAATTAAATATGTTTGTTTCCTAAATAGACCAAGTATTTACAATCTTCGAAGGTTAAAAAAAATCCAATTTTACTAGACTTTATTATTTGTTGCTGTACAAACACTTAAATCATTTTCTTTAATGGTCCTCTGAGGTTGTTCTAATAAAACATGCTATTTTTAAGAGTGAATAAACGATCTGTTCAATTTCACATTATCAGTATGTCAGAGTTTCATTCTAATTAGCAGTATATAATAGGAAATACTGTGAGGAAGTAAGGGTTAGCTTAAAAAGAACGTCATTTCACAGGGAGGATACTGTTTCTTATTCTTGTTTTTCTAAAACAAAAATGATGAATTTTGATTCTTTCTCCTTGTTTACAAATCAATTTTCTATGGTATTCTGAAAACACGTAGGTAAAATTATGTCATGAGAGTTCTCTCAGGTGCATACTGGGGACAAAAGGAACTTCAGCTGAAGGTAGCAATTGTTCTGGCTCCAAAGAGACTGAAATAGGGACACTGCTATCCAGAATAACATCTTGCTCCAAATGTGGGATGGCTAGGTACCAGCATATCATCAAGCCTTTGGCTAATACACATACCCTGACCACTTGATCAAGGAGAGTGTCTTTAAAACCAAGCGTCCTAGACTCTCTGGCGTCTTTTTCCTGGGGCTATATCCTGACAAGCCTGGCTGAGAGAGGTGGCTCCTTACACATCATAATGAAGCCCAGGTCTCTGAGGGCAGTCCTGCCAAGGTCCCACTGAAGTTTGCCAAGAATTGATGCTACAGAGTATTGAAAACAGGACCAGGCCCTTGTCCATTCTCCTCTTCACCACTCATTTGTAGAAGAGCCTAATGAACACTTTAATGAATACACAGCAAGCAGAATGTATTTTCTGTAACAATCACACATTGACAGTGAAAGTACATGAGGCCTGTCCCTGTGTGAAAGACACAAGAAAAAAATGGTAAGAAAGAGAAAAAATGGTTTTATTGCATAATCCTGAATGGCTCTCTCCCCAGGGTTTACTTACTTTATGTAGGAACACTAACAAGTGCATGTTCCTAACAGTGGCTGCTCCTCCTCTTAGAAATCCACCTATGGTTAGGAAAATGTATTTGATTTTACTATATGCCTACTCAAGGTATGGAGAAAAAAGTTATGGAGATTCTGCTGATAACAGCATTCAGCCTCAAAGATATTTAAAAGATAAATAAAATACTAGTGATTTAACTAAAGCATGACTGAAACATCAGGTTAAATGAATTGCTTCAGTCTACACTAGTATAAGATTTCATCTAGAGAAGTCTGAAGCATTTTAATTGAGCTAAAAACCAATGAATGCTTCAGATACTACACTTGTTTTATTTAGCTCTTCAGTTAAGGTATTTAAAAGGTTCCAAATATTTCTTCTATTTAAAAAAACATTAAAAATTCAAATATAAATGATACCTATTATAAAATAACATTCATAAAAATGAATAAGAAGATTTATGTAACAGAACTTGTTCAGACAAAGACATGAAAGAAATTCAAAGGGATACGACTCAGTGGCAGCAGTTGTATGGCAAACATAGGGTCCTGAGTTCAATTCCAGGTACCAAAAAAAAAAAAAAAAAGAGAAAGAAAGAAAACAGCAAATCCAAACAGTTTTTTAAAGGAGAAGCTTTATTTTAAAAATCTAAATACTGAGCAAGGGTAGTCACAAACTTAATAAGCAAAAATTAAGGAAGGAAGTACATGTTACATGTAAAACATCATGCTTTGGTTTTCATGGTACAAAACACACCTGTTTATTCTACCTGTCTCAGGATAAGCTCAGTACTGAATGTCCACACCTATGTGCTATCCAGTGCAGCTGATATTAATCAGCCTACTTTTACTTAGAATTTGTGAAATTAATAAGTCTCCTACAATGCCTGGACATTTGCCTTGTATGCATCTTACAACACTTTAGATACACTGGTACCAAAAAGCATATGTTACTTTCTCTAATTTCAGGATTACATTTTAAATTCTTGGACATGCTATTGGAAGCCCTTACTAGTCAGACCTTTCCAAACTAACCAGAACATATCCTTTTAATAAAAAATAATAGCTATGTTCTCATTTTCAAAGTTTGCGATTAAAACCTACAATGAAAGAATCCAGCTGAGAAGAAATTTCCTTTTGGTTAAAAAAAAAATAATGTCATTAAATTTATCAGAACAATATGAAATGAAGATGTTGTTGTTGGGTCCTTCACTTATAATGGAAACCAAATAGGCTTGCTAGCTTAGTTATAACCATAAATTATTTGTCATATAACATTTCAACAATAATTTTAAACATACAAAAGTGAAAGTATGAAAGAAAATCCCACTATCTCTGATAATCAAACTGAACAATTACCCATCTTTTTCTATGTGATTTAGTTGTCCAGATTTTAAAGATAATCTCACATGTTAAAATATTTCTTTTACATATTTTAAGCATGGCAGGACAACTTTGCAAAACATAACTCAAAGAATTGGGTGCCATTCCAACTGTAGATTCAGATCCTTTTACAAGGCAGGTTAGTTTGTTAATCTAGGCTTACACTTTAAAAAACAACAACAACAACTTTACATGGCAGTATTCTATTTTTCCCACAGTTTATAGCCTTAAAAGCACACTGTTTAATTACTTTTGATAATGACAAAGAGCATTGGTACTTATTTTATTTTTCAACATACAGCTAAAGAATACATGAATCACCCTTTGGAAATCTGGAATGCAAGCAGAACAGTAGATGTGAATGAAAACTAAGTTAAGAATTTTCTCATCGTCCTTACTTTTTTTTTTTTCAAAGCATCAGCCCTAGAAAAAGTCATTTTCTTAGTAGCAGCCCATTGTGCTAAAACAAAAAGGGGGAGACTTATTCCCACAGAACAGTTTACTTACTAAAAGATGTGGCTTAGGAAAGTGTTTTTGTGCTGGAATTGTAAAGTTAATTCTTCCTGTCAAAGCCTTAGGAAAACAAGCACATCGTAAACATACTTTTACATCTCAGAGCTGGCCCTCCTATTTTAGAAGGTTTCTTGGTTTTGTTTTTCTTTTGTTTTTGTCTGTATGCCTCTTAAATCAGCATTCTTAGAAATGTGTAGAAATGAGGCTAACAAATACAATAGTATCACAAATCTAATACAACAAATATCGCAGCACACTCATTCTTCACTTGGAATACCAAAGGGAGAAGGGTAGAAAGTGAAATCCCAGGAGATGAGCTGACTTTGGTTAAAATGATACTTTTCTACTGAGGATTTTAAACTCTCAAAGAGTTACCTCAGATGAGGGCCAAGGCTCAATACTGCCATCTCCTTCCGAAATGCAGAAATACAAGAAGAAATCTCAGGATGAAAATACAGGACAATAAAGCAAAAAGTATTCACTGGATGCATGAAAACCACCAGACATACCATTTGTCATTTTAAAAGGAAAATCCAGTCACTAAAGATATTTTGCGGGGTTGTAGATAATAAATTAATAAATAATTTGAACTAAAAAATGACTCATTTGTTTGTGCATATGGGCATCTCCCCTCCCCAAAACCCAACCTATACAATTATCTTGTGCATTCCATTATTTACAGTATAGTTTATATTTCTAATTTTGAAGACATTTAAGGGTGAAGATAAGCACTAAACTAGTAGACAAAGCCACCCTTGTATTTAAGGAGATTAAATCACTAAACTATCTTTATTTTAGGGCTTTTATTTGCATTCTCTGACTCTAGTGATTTTCTCACCTAGTAATTGATTCTTGAAAATCTATCACTTAAACACATTAGTGGGGGCTTCTAAGGCCCAGGTTTAACCCCTAAGTTCGACCTCCAAGGGGGGGGGTAATTCTTTACATTTAGAGCTTTCAGATATTATAATGAAAATCACTTACAGAGGTTAAATTTGTAATGTGTCATCAACCACACACATCTTATTGTTCTCAGGGAGAGCAGGAATAAGTTCCCGGACAAATAATGCCATTTTATGCTTACTGTCCCAGAGTAGTTATTAAAACTCCTTCTTCAATCTTGATAAATCATATGATTATCCTACTCTTAGTTCCTTTCCTTAAGGGTAAGATTTGGCAAAGAGAGGAGACTATGGTGGCAAATAGGGGGCCACTACCAAACTGCAGGGGGTAAGACATAGACAGGGAGAACTGAAAGTGCTTTTCAGGGAGTTACAGGTCTGTGTTGTTTAATGACTATATTAAGTTCTGAGAAAGGCAACAGCAGACAACAACATCGTCTTGTGAACTTCCAGAGTGCACTTGCACAAACCTGGGTGCTTTTGGCCCCACCGCTGGACGTGACATTAGGAGATGTGGTAATTCGAGATGTAGGAGGCTGTGCTGGTGCGACATGGCATAGTGCTTTGTGGACAAGTTTTGCTTTTTCTTTTAAATGAGAGTATACTTGAAAATAGTAAAACTGTAGTATAGTAAATATATAAACCAAGAACATGTTATTATCATCAAATATCATGTACTGCATGCACATATTTAAACATGCTACATACACATTTATGTAGCTGGTAGTTTGGTAGGTTTGTTTAAACCAGCATCACCACAAATGTGTGAGTAATGTTTTGCACTATATTATGATGGCTAGAGAGTCATTAAGTGGCAAGAAACTTTTCAGCTCCATTATAATCTTATGCTATTTTATGCTTATTGTCTTATGATATGTTATATTGTTATAATCTTATACTTTATGATGTTATATATTATATATTAGAGTATACAGGAATCTTGTGATATGTTGTATAGTATTGCATTTGGAATATTAACTCTACAGAACATGAATGGCTTATCATTACATTTTTGAACAATTACTATTTTTGCCAAAGAGCAAGGGCACTAATTTGGGATTTCTTTTCCCCAATTGAACAGATAACTATTCCTGCAGCTATTTTGCAGATATTAAGCACAGGGAAATACATACAGAATCAGCTTGAGAAGATCAGAAGCCAAGGGATGTACCACTTCACTGCATGTATTCTTTTCCCACTTAGAAAAATGTCTTTTAACCTTTATCAGTGAATCCTAGAAGGAACACCAGAAGTCACTGTCATGTTAGTTGCTGGGAAAGATACTCATGGACAGCTCTTTTGCCCTGACTGATGTAAGAAAAACTCACATCCTAAAGGTAGGATTCAATTTGAAGAAAAGTCTTCAGCTCAGGACAACAGGGAGGGTGTGGGTTCTCCTACCAAAAGCACTGTCATAAAAAGAGCTAATACTCTCCCACCATAAGTGGTAGGAGGGTCCATCATCAGACTTTAGAAATAGAATATATGAAACATTTCTGCAAATCTATCAAAAAGAACACATTGCATAAAAGTTATAAGAATTATATTAAAATTTAACTATAGAAACATAATAATATGACAATGTTTTTAGGTCTTCTAAATTTAATAATTCAAAACTTTGAGACAGATTTTCTTCAAGTAAACTATGAAATGAAATCAAACTTAAAAGTTTCCCCCTTCCTCTAATAACTAGTAACCTTTATGTAAAATTTGCTGGAGCAAATTATCTCTTCACCCACACCCTCCAAGTTTAATCAGAGTGTTGTAAACATTTTGGCTTTAGACCTTTTAATAGGAAGCATATATTTTACATGCAATTAATGTCATCCAAAAGAATCTTTCTTGAAAACTTATTACAAACTGTGTTATATAAGGCCAAAAAAAATGACATATGTTTTTAAATCATCAAAGGGGCTTGGGTTTATTTCATGTTCTTCAATAATGCTGCTCTTAGTTCCCTGAGAAAGCAAAGCCACGGTCAAATCATTTCTGCCTTTCTTGGGTTAGAAAAAAAAGACACGAAGCACAGCTGCCAAACTGTACCTCACCGGACAGGTGAGGCTACTTACAAAGCATAGATCTGACTACTTATCTGGTTCCTCCAATGAAACAACATTGTTCACTACACTTTGTCTGCCGTCCCTAAAGCCAGGCATGTTGTTTCAATTGTAGAAAGAAAGCACTGAGAGCTGGGATGTTTTATTTTGTGCTCTCATTTTGGTTTTAGTAACTGGCAACATTCCCACTGATGGGCCCAGCAATGAGAATATTAACATAGAATTTTCTTCACACATAAATCAGTAAAAAGCATAGAGTCTACCAAAAACAGAAAAACTTATAAATATTTAATACTAAATTTATTAAGACATCATGAGATTAACACAAGTTACCTTTGGCCTCTATAATTACAAGAGGTGTTCAAAGTGGTGGTCGTTAGCTTCCAGACATGTATCAGTATAGTGAATTGGTGTTTGTCATTGAGACTGCTGCACATGCATTTTCAATTTCTTCTTTAAGGGCTGGTGGTGTAGTGGGTTGCCTGCAATGTACAACATGTTCTAGGTTTCCCTATATGAGGTTAACACCATCTGTTGAAAAAATATCCTACTATTTTCCTAGAGCACATACACATCTTTACTGTATATTCTATGCCTTGAAGAGCAAACAAGTTCTAACTGGGATAAGCACTAACAGCCACATCCCTCTATTATTTCCTCTGCTAAGGGGAAAACTGAGATAGCAGTATGGTTGTCATATAACTGAGGGAACTTGCTAAGTGAGGATAGTCTGACGCTTATAAATGGGCCAAATAAACATTTTCTTGCAAAAGTATTATGGCCTAAGGCCTTTGAACCTTGAGTAACTTGAGGACAGGCCCAAAAAGGTAAATAGTGATTATATACCCTTTAAAAATGACTTTCAGATTTTCTGTAGTGACATTTGTACTGACAAAAAATTTAATGATCCCACTTATTCCTAGATATATATCATGAAAATTCTTGCAGCAAAGAGCATCTCTGCTTTATATATACCATTTCTTCTGGCTAATTATATGATGCAGTATGATTGTCAATCTGTAATAAATTGTATGAACACGAGCTTAATTAAAAATTTAGTATTTCTAATCTCATTGACCTATTAGGGTAGGAGTAAAATGCCATGTCAGTGCAGATAACAGGAATGCAATGTAAAGAATAGAGAGGAAGATAACAAATTATCAATATATGCATGTCGCTAGGTATTAGTTTTAACTAAAAAGTGCTGATTCTGTGATTGCATCTTGATTCAGGGATTCATGTTAGAAACCCTGATTCCTTTCCTCAGATCCCCATCTCATCTTATTTTCTAACTCTTTTTTTCTTTCAAGAATCACACATAAGTTCTTTAAAGTGTCCCCCTGGGGCCCAGAGACAGGCATAAACTTTTCTATTCTCTACTAACAAGTAGAGAAGTGTCTCTGTCTTCCTTATCAGTTCAATCTGCATTCACCAGAACAACTAGCATGATGCCTTGCTTTAACAAGTCTTCAAACTCCTTTCTGACACCTTTGACAGTCTTCTTAGATAAGAAATTGTTTTTTTCAAGTTGATTTCCTCCGACTGCTAACAAATCATTCCTTATGTTAACAGCACTGTGTATGTCTTATCCATAGATACTCATTACACCTCCTGGAGTTATGCAGAAGTCTAGTAAATTTTTCACTTTATAATTCTTTATTAAATTCTATTTTTCAAAGAAAATACACTCTAGAACTTCTAGATCCTTCATCACCTTTGCTGTTGTTTTAAATGTATCTTCTTTTTCTTAAAATATTTCCATCAAAAACAAAGTACTAAAAACATGCACAAGTTAACATGAGGATGATACAAATATAAGAAAAGAACAAAGTATAGCAACACTTCCTACACCTACCTGAGGCTCGGCGTCTTCTAAGGTGTACATTAAAGAATAAACATAACTAATAATAGCAAACTATGAGTGAATATTTAGCATGTACCATGCATTGTGTATGAACTTTCTATATAATAGCTCATGTAAAGCCCACAATCATCTTTTGAGAAAGTTATTGCCATTAAATAAATTGACAGGAGATAAAACTGAAGCCTAAAGTAATTATTTGCTAATGGTTAATTATTTGTTAAAGGCCATACAAGTGAATTTCAGAGATGAAGCTCTATCCAGGCCTGCCTAGTTTAGCAAAGCCAAAACTTCAAGTATTATACTATGTTGATTACTTTTAAAAATAAATAAAAGATAGATAGATGAACAGATAGAGATAATTAGATTAAAAATAGATGCAGTCACATATTTAGAAAACTTTTAAATTGTATAGCAAAAAAGAAACTTATTTCTCAGAACTTTTAGTATGTTAATTTAATATGCTCATTTCCAACAAAGGTATGCTTCTCAAAGTTCTTTAAGTATATCTTGCAATACTAATATTCCACAAAACACACTTTAGAAAATATCGCTTCACATTAATAATTAAAAAGACACAATATATCTGTTTAATCACCTACGCATCTAGCCAAAGGTATTTGAGAAATGGATTTCCAAATTCTTTACTTGAGGAAACCAACTACTTCTATACAGTCTGAAGAAACAGAAATGTGGCTTGACTATGACACAATCCTTCTTTCATTTGTTCAAAAGAAAATAAAGAACAGCTCTCAAGAGCCAGGTTCTCTTCTCAGTGGTGGGCAGGCAAAAAAAAAAAAAAAAGATTATAACTCAAATAATTATTTCAGCCAAGGTTCTGATTATTTCTTGAGGGAAACAGACAATTGCACATTGTACACATCTCCACAGTCATGACTCTCATGGTAGAGCTGCACATAATTACACTAACCTTAAGTGGAATCTTTGTAGACATAAAAAGAAATGATATGAGCAGCGTAATGAGTACAAAGTTTGAATCCTATATAAGGTTTAGGCTACCCACGAAAGGAAATTTAACTCCCTTTGGGCATTGGGAGATTTCACTAAAGAGGGGCTGCATCCTCCTTCCCTTTATATGCAAAAATTAAAATATCACTAAGCTCAGAAAATACCAGAAGTTCTTTTTACACAAAAATAATCTTTATGTTTCTGTGTGAATCAGTCCATATATCTGGTAAAATTTGCCACTAGGTTTTTATCCTGAAAATTCAGTAACAAATAGATACTTGCTTCTCTGGAAAATAATTATGAAGTGAAATTTATGCTCTGAGAGCTAAGAACATATATTCACAGATAATGGGCAATTATTTTTATAATTCTTATGAGTGAGAAGCATGTTAAAAATGTACAGTGGTTGTTTTCTAAAGCACTTCAGTATCTTAAAATCTTCAGCATTTTGAAAAAGAAATGACTTCAAGATTATTGCAAAATGCACCGAGACTTCTTGGTGATTTAATCCAGAGGGGAAAGGAGATAGAAGGGAGCGGTACTGAAATGGAGCCAGATTTAAGCAAGCCTGCTTTGGACTAATTGTCTTCCCAATTCCTCAACTTCAGTCATCAACAGCTAAATGAAAACAAGCACCTATCATTGACAAGAAAAGAATGTTCAGGTCTACAGAAATTAAAGAATGCGACTTTCTTTGTTATGAAACAATTTTTGAAACTAGGGAAGAAAAAACCCACAAATCCTCTTACCTATGCTGTTTGCCCTACCACATACTCCCTCTGATTAAGCTCCTTAATTTTCCCATTTCATAATGAAAAACTAGAATTACAATTTAGCAAACAGCACGGATTTGATTAAATAAATTGTGGGATAACTTCATTAAGACGGCATCTATAAAGAAAATGGTATTTATATTCATCACAAAAAATGACAGACATTTCCTTATAATGGAATATAAAAATATGAAATTTTACAAAACATATTATGACAACCCTATAAATATAATTATAAACACACAAACTAAAAATTATAAGGAAATATATATGATTATCACTGAATAGTAGAGTTATTGGTGATTTTAACTTTCTTGATTATTGTTCTCTATATCTTTTAAGTTAATTGGGTTGATCTTAAAAGAAAAATAGTATTTTCTTTTAGAAGGCATTTCCCTTTTTTTGTATTTTAATGCAAAAAAACACCAAAAACAATGATACAGAATTTCAAAGCAACATAAAAGATAAACAATGGTTAATATATTATGTATTATCTTCAAAGTAACTGCTCAGATTACAAGATTTAGGTATGAAAAAATGATCAATGTAAGCACAAATCAGTTTTTTATAAACTAACACAGATTATCTATCTTGTATATACATTTAATAATTATCTATCTTATATATATATGCATGTATACATATATATATAATATTTTTCCTTCTTTCTCTTATTCTTATTTTATTTTTCCTTCAGATGGCTCTGACTTAGAACTTTGAAGAGTCAACAGAATATTATACTCCACAGCATCTTTGTCCAAATATGTGAAAACAGAAGAATCAGTTTAAAGACTGCAGGCCTAAGATTCATGCTGACTTAGGTTATATCACAAGGCATATACAACACCAAACGGATTTTCCCAATATACTATTTTTTGCAGAAAACACAAAAATCTAATCCTTAGCATGTCTCTATGCTATAATGATTCCCGTCTTAAGCTAAAGGATTTGATTTCCAAGGCTGAAAATATATCAGTAAGACTCCCCTTGGCTGGTGGCATCACCTATATGGAAATGTAGGGTAAACCATTATTGGGATTTTAATGGACTGGACCCAATAGAAAGAGCTCTGCAATAGGTAGAGGTCTGGTCATTGAGGCTCTAATCCTCATTATGCTACTACAATAGCTGTGTGAACTGGGCAGTTACAACTCAAGTACACACAAGAATGTGTCGGTTTCTACGTGTATAAAATTAAGAAATTAGACAATCCACTTATCTAAAAACTTATGTGACAAAAGGAAAAATGGCATCTGTGAATGCATAAATACACATTATAGAGCATAGAAATACATGACTATATAAATACATAAGTACATATTAATAAATCAGGATGACACTTCAGTCAATGTAACAGCTATAAAAATATTCTTCTAAGTACCAAAATCTGTAATCTACAATCCTACAATTTGCCACTGCTTCATGTATGATCTTCTGAAAATCATTTGATCTCCTTGGACCACTATAAAACAAGGTAAGAAGATTAGTGATAATTTAAGTTCCCTCCAAGCTAAGTTTTATGATCTGCAATTCAAATAAGAGTCTAGAAAAGACAGAGGGTAAACAGGCAAAAGGAAAAAGGATTAAAATACACATGAAATACTCTGACTTCTTATTTTAATACTTGGTTGAATTTTCCTCCATTGTGTTACTTAGCTGAGGGATAAATGAAGGTAACTGCTGCATTCCAGAACATGGTAGATTGCCACTTTTTTAAAGCAATTATTGTTAGGTTAAGAGGTATAAAGACAATTACCCCAATGTTAACTATTACTTTACATAAAATAAGTAGCCCCAAAAGACAAAGGTCATCAAGCACATCTGACAAGTAGAAAGCACTAAAATCTCTGCTTTAATTAAGAGTTATGATTACTACTGTCCTATTTGAATGAAGATGGAGTAGGAGCAAGCAATGTTCAGTGGGTGAAACTATGGTTAGAAATCCTTTCCCTCTGCTTTTCCAAAGACTCCAAATGCAGGGACACAGTAAATGCTCATTTTTGTTTATGGCTAACACAGTAAAAAGGCATCACCTGAGATGCCCAATGTTAAGTTACTTTTAAGGCTATTATTGTATTTAGCAAGCATCAAAAGAAACTCAATGTGCCTAATAATTCAAAAGAAACATTTCCTTTCTTATACAAATTCCTGTGTGTTCTAACTACTGTATAGGCTGACTATTAAATGATATAATACTTTTCAAATGGATGGATAATATTTAAAGATGTGGTCCCCAAATCTTTAATCACATTTCTTGTTATCCTACACACAACTCAAGTTAAAATACTGTCTATATTTATACTCTAATCACAAGGTCACTGCTCTGCTGTGGTCTGCCCAGTGGATTTCCTTCCTGCATATGTGCTATGTGTATACATTTAAAATGGAATGGCAATGTCATTAGGAGCCCAGAATGATCATTAGAATCGACAGCAGATCGACAACATACTACCACAAAACAATCAGTCAAAGGCTGGACAACATAGTGTTTTACCAAACCACTGAACAGGAATTTAATCAATATCAAGGTCTATATCTTTTTTACTCCTAAATTAAAAGAGGAAATTCTTTTGTGTAACTCATTTAATTACACACATATTATTTATACTTCAATTTCTGCTTGTGATTGCACCTATTTCACATCACAAGTTATTGAGACATAGAAAAGTAATTTACAACAAAGAAGAATATATATGTACATAATTTTTAACTGTGGCAAAATTGTATCATACATATAATGTATTATAAAAGTAAGGACATATCGGGGCTGGGGATTTAGCTCAGCGGCATAAGCGCCTGCCTTGCAAGCAGGCGGTCGTGAGTTCAATCCCTGGTACCGATAAAAACCGAAAAAGACAAAAAAAAAAGTAAGGACATATCGTCACCACATGGATTTCTACACTCTTAGGATCCTCCATTATAGCAAAAAGTTTATACAGACGTGTCTGTTTGATTCAATTTACCAAGTATTTGCAAAGTGGCTACTAGATAAAAGGACTTATAGATATTCAGGATATTGGATAATCATTTCCCTTCTCTTAAGTAACTTATGAGGATATTTTAGTCTTCCTTATATATATAACCTGAGATAGTCAATAGTTCACTTTTTAATAAGTTCTCAGCAAAAAGTTTTGCTGAAGTTAATAAACTACATTCTTTGCTACATTTTTTATATTTTTGCTTAAATAGAAGATCATGGAATTGGTTTTACATGAAAGAAAATGGCCAAGGTCCCTGGAAACTACTATAACATATGATTCAGTATCACTAATACAGGATATTGCTTGCCCATCTCTACCTTGTTTCTGAAAACACTGAGTTCCACTAAGATAAAAGAAAAAAATCTATAAAATGACAGAAACTTGTTACAGTAATGTAGCCCTAAGTTAGGCAGATAAATAATAACTATCATCTTTGAGTGACAACTACAGGTCTTGGGAATGTCATAAATATTATTCTATTAACACTATAAAATGAACATTTTAAAGTGTTTTACAAATGAGAAAACCCAGGGTCAAAGAGCTTGGGAAATTTGTCTAAGGTAACACAGTCAAGTTGTGGCAGAAGCAAGATTCAAATACAGAAATATCTCACGCCACAAATTTCTACTTAATGGCTGCTATAGAGAGAAGATGGATACATGGATACATGTGCCAACTGGCTGAAACAAATTTCTTTGACTGTAACTTTAGCCTAATGCTGCAAAATGCATTTCTAGTTCCCTCTCAGTTTTTACCTCTCCTTTGTCTTTGCCTTTGTCACACAGCATTCTTTGGTTGGCTGACTGTTCATTTGGTTTGGTTTGCTTTTCCCTCCTGCAATGCTAAAATCTGGAAAGTTCATGAGACAATTACTAACTGTTGGCATAGAGTCAGAATGGCTCTCAAATTGTTCTTCTCATATAAGCCTAAAACCTAGTACCTTCCTCGGTCAAATAGAAAGTAGAGCTCCAAAAGTACAAAGACCCGCTTTCTGGAAAACTGCTATATTCAATCATCTTGTCTCAAACAATACAGACTGATGCTCAGAAAGCCCAAAACCAAAAACCTGAGCCGGAAGCCAAAAGTATACATCAACTGACATAATTTCTTATTCCAGTTTTGGATTGTGGCAGAATTAGTTTGGTAAAGATCGGATACACTGACACTCAGTAAAAGCCATATTCAGTTGTCATCCAGAGACTTTAAATTGTAAGGACTAGGAGAGGCCCAATATTGCGCTATTGGCCAAGAAAAAAATGACAGTGTGATTCTAAAATAAACAACATAAGAATTAAAAAACAAACATATATAAGAAAAGTTATAATCCATATTTAGACAATTGGAAGCTAATTTTGATTTTGTTATGTCATTCATTTTTTAAAAATGCCCATTTTTCACCTGCTTACTTTCAGTGAATAGCCATTTGTCCTTAAGAAACATTCACACTACAATGTTTTAAATATAGTATTTAAATATACTATTACTTAAATCAAGGAATTCTGCAGATTCCTGTCCACTGGAAGCTAGGCAAAAGTGAGTAAAATCTTTCTCAGTGCTTCCAGAAAGAATCACCTCTGACAACACATTGATGTTTGGACTTCTAACTTCCAGAACTGTGAGATTCTGACTTTTTTTTAAGTTTAAAACAAAAAAAGTTTGCAAGAATTTTATTTCCAAAAGTGAAACCTGAGCTACACTGAATTATGTTATTTTGATGTATCAATAACAAAAGACTCCCAGTTCCAACGTAAATATGCAAATCAACATGATCCATCATTTTGTCTTACAAGGATTATCTCTGGGATGGCACAAAGGCATAATCAAAATGCTACTGTCCAATATGGAAGCCACTAGACACATGTGCCTACTAAAATTAATTGAAATTAAATAAAATTAAAAACTCATTTCCTTATTCCTCATATTTAAAGTGTTCACCTACCACATTTAAAGTGCTCAACTCCCTCACACAGCTAGTGGCTACTGTGTTGGACAGTATGCATGCGGAATATTGCTGTGTATGCAGAATGACTTGCTGGAAAGTGAAGATTTAGAAGGATAAGATACTGAGAATCATTGCTTCTATTTAAAGAAATTCCCAATTCTTATCCAACACTGACTTCATAACACTTACCAAATCACAACTATACTCCACAGTCTCGTAAATTTCACTTTCTTGGATTTACAACCTAGAGAAATTGAACTGGTGCTTTCTTATACAT